ACTGCTGCATCTTTTATAGCCACCCCAACAAACTTACGTTGCGAAGCAGACACTTTAGCGTCACATTTCGAGAGATAATTCATGGGTAAAACGCGGTGGAGCTGATCTAATTCGATTAAAAGCTTGGAAACAGGTAAGCTCGAAATTGTGTGAGCTTTCGGTGGCTTCAACTTAGTCTTCAGCCCAAAAACGTTGACTTGAAATTGCTGCAGAGATTTAGCTGCTTCGTACGTTTCAGACCTGGTCAAGATATTTTGGACGGATGCTAAACTCATATTTAAGTTGAGTAGAATCCATACGCGTCATTCTGATACCTTTGTTCACAGTTGCTTTTGAATTGTATACTCGACAATCGGTTCATCCAGCGATTCATCTTCTTCCGTATTGCTATTGATAAATATTATACCTGGGAATGCTTCGTAGTAGCTGTAGGAAGCGCGAAGCTGAACGTAACTATACTGTTCGTATATCAGCTCACAGGCATGTCGACTAACCAAATTTGCAATCACTGTCATCTCGTCATCGTATTCCGTATGGTGAACGACAGATAACTTGTTATTTTGTCCATTCAAAAACTGTTTGGCTCGAGCTTGATAGAGCATGATAGCTACTACGCACTCGTCAAGACCCATACTACTGCTCACAACATCTTTTATCTGTTTCCACGACGCCTCTAATCGGCTGTTGGTGTTGTTACCAGGTGTAACAGCGTTCTGCCGTGTGTAGGAGCACCACGTTTCCTTACAGGTATCCCAGTTTTTTTTTAATAGGCTTCAGACGGATGAACCCATTCTTGAGCGTTTGATTGGACAGATAATGGATCGATGATGTAGCTACTTTGCTCAAGAAATTCATTCGGAAGATTCGCGGTCCTTCATCAAGAACACCACCAGTGTATCTCAAAGAGCTCGGGCTCTGGTATTCATAGCTGCGTTTACCACAGCCGAGCTCAATCATGTGCTTCATGTAGTGCCGATACTTTTCAAATTTACGTAGTGTACGCCATGAGGCGAATGCAATTGCGTAATTGTTCCTTCTGGTACACACTAAACCAGTAAACTCCACTCGCAAGTTCCTCTACAAGATACTTGATAGCGTGAAATTGACAAAGTAAAACCGAAACTTCCAGAAGTGAGGACTTCAATACCCAAATTCCCGCAAAATCCTTATCAACGAAAACACTTTGAATTTTAGTCCACTCCAGATTGTTTTCCTTGAATTCGTCAATTGCTGCTTGTAGTGTTTCAGATCTTTCGTTCTTATTTAAAGAATGCTGAGCGAGCTGACCCTTTTCAGACGTCGTAAGCCATAAAAGAAAAAAATGTACTTTGACTGGTTCGTCCCGTGTGTTGCATCAACCAAAAGTACTTCTGGAAACCGAGAGAATGTTTCACGCACGTGTGACGTCTGTATTGTTGTACAAGTTGCTACTTATTGAATAAATAAATAATTTACAGACAGTCAGACAAATAAAAAACGTTGTACACGGTCCTCTTACCTTGCCGCTCTCCATGTCTGTAAGAATCCGCGCAATGTTCCCTGGCTGCTCACTGAAGCCCTTCATCCAGATCTTGAGTCGTTCCACCCGCGTAGTGCTCCCAAACTTGTCGTTTTTCAGCGTACGGACCAGGGAACCCGAAAATGCAATACTAAGATTAATACATCGATGTGAGCTGAGAAAATTAATAATTCAATTATTTGCATTATTCCGGCCCATACTCGAGCGTACCTTGTCCACCGCACTCAGGTCCCACAAGTCGCGATTGTAGTTCAGAAACATTATCATCTCAAGCCTGGCTGGAGACATTCGCTTCCGTAGATCAGACAGCACCAGCTTAGCAAGAGAGAAGAAGCGCTCACACTCGTTAGACGTTGGCGGGATGTACGCGACGTCAACGTAGTGCGAGCGCTTCACGACCTTGCGCTTCTTGAACGCTGCTCTCACAATAGAGCACTCCTCGGCGACTCTTGAAGACGACCGTTCGAGATCAGGGGACCTAAATTCAGCGCAGGCTAATTTTTCCGCGACGTTTAGCGCCTCCCCACGCTGTAACTTGACTAGACCTTGCTCTAAATTGGAATTTTTCACTATAGATGCCGTTGTTGACAGCCGAGGCTGTAGGGCTGGGTATTTCTTCACAACCTGGTCAAAAAGACGTCGCGAAGCGGACAAAGTTAGCGTAGACTTCTGCAGCTCCTTGGTAACGGCTTCAAAAGCTGCTAAATCTTTAAGAAGCGCCTTGACGCGCTCGTGCTCCGCACGCCGTAGTAGGAGAGGTTGCACATCATGCTTCACGAGGACATTGAGGCCCAGCTGAACAATTGCCGGCTGGAGTTTGGCGTAGCGCTCTACCATCTCGTACGTGCTCGACCATCTGGTGTCGTTCCTCAGCAGTGGAAACAGATGGGAGACGCGGCGAAGAATGGCTCTACCTTTGATCGTACGCAGCTTGGACATCAAGGTATGGACCTTGGTTATCAACTCGTCTTCGTTCTTGAGGAAGTCCTTGACCGCTAAATTAAAGCGGTGGCTAGCGCATCCGATTAGCGGTATAGCACCCTCCTTCCGGCCAATGTACTGGTTAACGGAGCAGTTATCGCCGACCATGAACTTCACTGCGCTCCAGGGCTTGTCGTATCGCGACAGCGTATCAGCGATTAGGTCGTACTGGCTCTGTGCGCTAAGATCTTCCTCCGTCTCTACGGGCGAGAAAGCTAGCAGCACGAAGCGACGAGATAAGCACTCTAAGTCCTCGTAGTACTCACTGGCCGCGCTGCTACCGGTTTTACCGGTATTACCGGGTGCACTGTCAAATACCGCAAAGATTGCAACGTAGTGACGGTTGCTGCTTGTCCAGCCGTCCAATACGAGACCAAATGATTCGGGTAGCTCACTGGCTACACGGCCCTCAACTACCTCGAACAGCATTACTATATAGCGGAGTAGCGTGTCCTCTGACACGGTAGAAAGTGCCACATTCAGCCGGGTGAGCCTTCGCTCCACAAATGCAAACGGGAGGCGCTCACAAATCACCCAATCGAGCCAACGGTGTAGATCCCGCGTACGTTGGCTGACTAGGCAAAGGTTTAGGGAATTCTGGCGGCGCGCAGCTTCTTGGGCTTCTTGCTCATAGTCCTCGTGGCTGCGTCGTAGGTGGTTTAGTAGATTCGTGTAGCCGTTGCCCTTCTTGTACTGCTTGCCGCAGGTCGTGCAGTTGTAGAAGCCGTCACCAACCTCAGTGAAGAGCATTGAGCAAATTTGGCTGCTCGTTAGGACCATGATGGGCAGAGAGGGCACTGTAGCGGTAGAGGGGTGCCCAGAAGACTGTAGATTGAATTCTGAATGGATGTTTGGTAGGTTTGGACGTGGCCGGCAGCCTGTATTGTAAATGGCTGGTAGCAAGCGACCCTGTGGACTTTGTTGGCATGTACCTTAGCAATTTATGAATGAATTGTAATAAATTCAAAAATGAATTGAGGGGTAAGAATTAATAATTAAATTAAAAAATTAGGATTCATTTTTATGCATATTATTTTTTCGGGTTCCCTGGTACGGACCAGGTTGTGGACATCTCGACTTGTTGGCAAGCAGTTCGAGCTCTCCAGAATGAACTGGTGAATAGTCTTCTTTTTCGCACCAGCCTGTTGTAAAACATCCACTGTCTCGACCACTTCGGCTGGAAGTGCTAGGCGCATCTTGGTATAGTAGTTAAACAACTTCACATTGAGATCGTGATTGTGTTCGAGTATTGATTTTGTTACACACACTGTCCACTTTTCAGTGTCTTGACTAATCAGTCTCACGCGCGTATTTATCTACGTACAGGAAAATATTCAGATGAAACGAGTCTGTATAGCGTCAAGTGGTAGTCTGTAATCGATTCCAGAATAAATATTCTGGAATCGAATTATTGGCTCCCAAGTTTTAAAAGAATAAGCCACACCAAACTGTACAGGACACTCTATCCGACGGCATTCTTGACGCAACCTTTTTCCTTGGCCCCTGTACTTGCATTTTCCTGCATGAGTACACTTTGAATACTGCTTGAAAGGATGTGGAATGTGCGAAGGTAAATTCTTGATTTTGCCATCACGGGCTTTCACAATTTTAATTGCTCTTGTTCGAAACAGCTAAGTGGCAATGGTTAGAAAATTTGAAACACTTGTAGTTCGTATCGCAGTTTAGGCAGTGCCTGGTAGGTCTGGGCTTCATACTCACGCACAAAAGCATGGGATTCATCCCACGAATCAAACTGGAGCTTTTCCAAGGCTGGTCCAGTACTACGAGAAGGAGGAGAGGCTACCAACACTGGCGACGAAGCAGACTCCACTTCGAGCGACGAATCTTTATTCGTGTTTGCTGAGATATCTCCGCCGCCACTTGAGCTGTCGACACCCGCTGTGTCTGCTCGCTTTCTTCTACCAGCAACGCTGGCCATTGCTTCTGAGAGTCCTGGCAAAATGCGTTCGTGCAAGTGCACCTGTCAGTTTTGCTTCTACACTGTATTCCTGACCGACTGACTGCACAGTATACATGTTCGGATGCAAAACTCAGCATATTGGCCTTATTTGACGGTTTTAGGGTAGCATGTTTTCGTGACCAAGTGGTTCCAAGGCTGGAACAGCAACCACTCTCTTAAATTTAAAATAACAAGCCATCTAATCGGATAAGTTCGCTTGTACCTAACACTAATCTACTGTATTTTGGAAATGCCAATCAGCTTGGGATACAAAACAGTACTTTCTTACTGAATCATGGTAACTCCTTACTTTTGTAAAATAGCATCTCTGCTACTTTAATACGGTAGTCAGTATTAAATACTGTACGGATTGTCTTTAAATGAAACGTGTTGCCCTCCACTTTACTGACATGGCCTCGTCGCAAGCCAACAACAGCAAATCACTAGTGTCGTGTTATTCTGTCCCTTAGTTTTCCACGGTACTCTATCTCGTGTGGTAGGGTTCCTGAGCTCCCCCCGCTGTGCATATTCAAGAAAGACACCCAGAGGTGAGTGAAGTTACGCGTATCCGTCAACGGTTTCCACGCAGTGCAGACACCTTTGAATCCATCGGAGCTGCATCGTTCGTCTACTTCTGCGTGGAATTCTCGCACGTCCGCGCCGTATCCACCTCCAATGGATAATAATCCGACACCCTAAGTGGCGGTTGGCGATGCGGACAAGGAAGACGGCGACCCTGATTCTATAATTGCCATTTGATTCCATTGCTATTTTCCGACGCTAATACTGCTGCTTGCTTGCTGCTAGTCCTACTCAACTACTAGAGCCTGGTACGATGAGCCACTTCGTGCGCCAGAGCAAGTTCCGTCACGTGTACATCGAGCCGGCCAAGTTTGAGTCCTGCTACACGAATGTGCGGCTGGCAACGGCGACGGGTGAGCAGAACTATATCAAGGGTAACACCAAGTTCTTCGCCGTGTCCATCCAGGCAGGTGGTGGCGCCATGGCTGTAGTTCCCTACGACAAGGTGGGCAAATTTGATCCGGATTTTCCGCTCATCTCAGGCCACCGTGGCGCCATCTTGGATTTCGACTTTAACCCGTTCCACGAACACCTAATCGCCTCAGCCTCAGACGACACCACTATCAAGATCTGGGGCATTCCCGAGGGCGGTTTGGCCGAGACCTGCGTGGATCCCCTCGTGGACTTGGCTGGCCATGGCCGCAAGGTGACGCTCATCAAGTTCCACCCTACGGCTAACAATGTGCTGGCCAGTACGTCGTCCGACTTTTCCGTGCGGTTGTGGGATATTGAGAAGGGTTCGGAGATCGTCAAGCTGGAAGACCATGGAGAGAACCTGATTCAGGACTTGGCTTGGAGCTGGACCGGTAGTCTGCTTGCCACCACCTGCAAGGACAAGGTCGTGCGTCTCTACGACGCTCGTTCCGGCCAGATCGCCGCCCAGAAAGAAAATGCCCACATGGGCACCAAGAGCGTCAAGATGAACTTCCTCGGCAACAAGGAGACGTTCGTCACGGTGGGCTTTACACGTCAGAGTCAGCGTCAGTTTAAGGTCTGGGACCCGCGTAACCTCGACAAGGAGCTCAAGAAGGTGGACATTGACCAGGCCGCAGGTGTCATCATGCCATTCTACGACCCCGACACAAACCTCCTGTACCTGTGTGGTAAAGGTGACGGTAACATCCGCTACTACGAGATGTCGGAAGGTGAGCCATTCGCCTTCCCTATCAGCGAGTACCGCTCGACGACTTCTGCGAAGGGTATGGCTATGATCCCCAAGCGTGGGTGCGATATCATGAAGTGCGAGTCTGCGCGTCTGCTGAAGCTGACGTCGAATGCTATTGAGCCACTGCACGTGTTCGTGCCTCGCAAATCGGACGCTTTCCAGGACGATATTTTCCCTGACACGTACGCCGGCATTCCCTCGATGACTGCCGATGACTGGCTGGGTGGTGCTGATAATTCGCCAGTGCAGATGTCTCTCCGTCCGGAGATGCAGGGCAAGATTACCAACGATGGTAAGCGCTCTCGCTCTGCATCCAAGGCGAACAGCGTCGGTGCCGGCATTGCGGCTCGTGTGGCTCGTTTCGCACGCGGCGGCAGTAAGAACGACAACACGCCCGAAGGCAAGCTTAAGACCGAATTGGACAGTGCAAATGCACGAATTGCGGAGCTGGAGAAGCTGCTTCGTGACAACGGCATCTCGTACTAAAGCAGCGTCAGGAGAGGACTGACTGCTGCGAGGGGGACTATTATCCCCGATCACGGTTGGATTGGAATGCCGTTAGGACGACGCTAATTGTCGCTTCGTTCTCTGTTTTGGCTCTTGCAGTCGGAACCAAATACTTATTAGATTCGTGAGCAAGCAAGAGGCCTACGCACGCACCGAGTGAAGAGCAGGACAGCGAGAATACCAAGAAGAGTGTGAGAATACACGCAAGTGCATGTCGAACAAAAACTGTGTGTCTTTCAGTTGATCTCTTTTTACTGCTTGTCAGTCAGTGCTGAAGGTTTTGCCGTCAGGTTGCCGGACAAGACGACAAACTATCCGACTTCAACTTGCGCAGTGTTTAGTGATGTTATGGCGCAAGGAGTCAAAGTCCCAAGACAGGATATCGAGTGTTTGCCATGCGTTTGCTCCCGTTGCACCAGTAAAGCCAACCCATGCTCGACCGTGGAAGAGTTCTAGGGTGTTCTCGATTCGTAGCGGCACTGTCAACACAGGAGTGTTCATGTCGTCCAGATAAACTGAAAGAAGCCCGACACCAGATCGCCAGGCACTTGTGGAGAAGAAGTTACCAGCTAATGTGGTGGCCGTAAAAGGTTCATCGAAGAGCCTGCGCAACCACACGTCAGATATTTAAAGGCTGTCTACCGCGACGGAACGGAAATGACTTACATGCTTTCGTCAAGATTGGGGTTGTACGTGATCCGCACTGCGTGTATGTCTTCCGTCAAGTCCGGAATATTGCTCGTAGCACCGAGTGAGTGAGTGTGATTGGGCAGCACAACTCCTTCATTTCCACTGACGTGTACGCTGATGTGGTTCTCGTAGACATCAAGCAATTCGGGGTTGAACCACGTATCAAACTCGATGACAAGTGCATTTCGAAGACCGCCATAGCCAAGTGACATGCCCCCAGAACCCAGTGCAAGCTCTTGCTGCACGTCATTATGTATAACGAAAGCAAAGCCGTCACCCCCACGCAACCGGCAGTTTGTGTGAACTTTGTCCATTACTCGGCATATCGTTGATGGATTAGTCACTCGAAACGAGAAACTGGTGGTGAAGCCTTCCCGGACGTTCATCTGTCGAGGATACCAAGCTGCGCCTGTGAGAAAGGATTGCGAAGCAGTGATTCTCAGTACAGTCCCGCATGCGGCTGTTATTGGCGCAGCATCAACTGGTTGGTGTAGAGTTGACTTGTCGAAGACATACACTTGCTTCGCTGGAACAGGCACATCGGTCATTGCGTTTGAGGGCAACGAGCGAAGAGTTAATCCATTCGTGGAAATAGCGCTGCGGATCTCGCTTTTGAAGCACACGTACGAACACTCTGCAATGGCTCCACTCGATCCGCGTGGAGCTGAAGTGTCAAAATTGTCACAGCACGAAACTGAGGCGTTGCAGTTCTGAACCTGCTCAAAACTCTCGTCAGTGTATCATTATGCAAATGCGAACAACGTAGCCAAACTCACGTGAGCATCGCCGTTCAAGTGCAGTCCGAAGTGTCCTTGATCACCTACCTCACCAGTGGGACCAAGTGTCGGAGCCGTACGCAGAGCAATGGCTTCGGGAAGAGCACTGAGATTTGTCAGGAGTCGGGCGTTGAACTGAGGGAAGACGAAATCTGTTCCCGAGAATATTATACGTCAGAATGTGACGGTGGCGCATGAATACTACAAGGGGTTTAGTGACTTTTTTTTACCTTGTCGAAGCGTTTGAACACAAGACGAGAGTGGGGAGTCGAAGCCAAGCACAGCATTAGGTAGAATTTGACGCCGGCCATACAAGTCAAGATCCCTCCACTCTTTCGACCATCGCCACTGGTTCTCAGTTAGCGGTGTTACCTTCGCCTGGTAACTCGTGGAACTTTCAAGCTCGATGAGTGTGGTGGATGTTACGTTGCCTACCACAACAGACTGATCAAGAGAAAACGAATCATCTGCGCAGCGCTTCCAGGCTACACGATAACCTGTGACAGTCATGCTTTCCCACACATCAGTAGGCGCATTCCAGTTAACGTCGATGGCGTGAGATGCCACGTTGGAGATTATTGGCTCCGGGGGCGAGCTTACTGGCGCTGCGTACGACAGCAACGGGATCTCATCAAATAACCGCAGCAACCGTCCGTTATGAACACGGACTACAGATGGGTATGTTGGATTTTTCAACCAGTTGGACGCTGCTGGTGGCAAGCGACACTGCAATTCCACCTCTGGAACGACATGAACAACGTCCAAGCATTCGACCCCGTCAATAGAAACGACTGCATCAGCTGTGCCAAAATGTTTTCCGCTGATGGATACCAGCTCACCACCTTCGCGCGCGCAATTGTATGTAGATGCTCGAGGTAGCGTCATTGGCAAACACTTTGCTGCTACGGAAGGATGAAACCCGTTGGTCCAGCGTTCTGTTTCCGTGCAATTGAGGTGTGCTGCTTTGTCACTACCGCTTACTCCAGTGACTTCGTCGTCGTCGTCAAAATATTTGTCGATACAGCCACGGACCTTGGTCACTACGGGCGCTTTGGTGAAAGCTATCCAGTCAATTGAGAAACTATGTCCGGTGATAGTATTGCGCGAGACGCACGGGTAAAAGCGTACTCGACGGAGGACCCCTGTGACGTGTTTCCAGATAGGAATGAAGTACAAATCGTCCTGCTCGAGTACTGAATGCAACTTGAAAGGGATTCGAATCGGGTCATTCATCACTCTCCGGTCGGCATCGAGCCAGACAGTTGGCTCGGATGGAGATCGCTGTAATGATACCATAGCGAGATCACACTGACCAAGAAATCTCATTCGGAAGACGAGGTGGTCGCGCTTGTCAGCGCCGATATACGCGTGCAATTCTGGTGAGTCCACAAAGGCGAGCTTGTGGTCTCCGCTTTTTAGCACCACTCCTCGTAATTGTCCACCGCCAACATCGATCTCCACCCCCATTTCCAGCGACGATGACTGACCCCAACCATTCCTGCCGTCATCAAAGTTCCATTGAACTTCATGGTACAAGAAGTGAGTTGACCAATGATACTGGAAAAGATTTTAGCCGGTTAAAGCGTACGGGCAATCGAGTTCATTGCTTCTGGGGCCATTGATGTTTGCGTGAATGTTGTACATGCCAGCATTACCACCGCTACATTGAGAAGCAGCGACATCGTGCATCGTCGCCGTTGTGGAGTAAAGCAGCTGGGATCCTGGAGGGTCTCCATTGCACTTGAGTCGATGACTACTGGCACCTATCTTCAAAATAAAGATACTAAAATACTAATTAAGCTCAAGATTGGTATAATCAGCAAATTCGTCCACAGTAATCACGCTGCTTCCGATAACAGGCATCGTTAAAGCACTTGGCAATAGACCTGTATTTTGCATCATTTCCTATTTGTAAAAGCCCATTGGACTTCTACAGGTAAGGATTACCAACTGATGAGTGGTTTGAAACAAAAAATAAGCATTTGTCGTATATACATTTACAAACTTCACGTACAACAATAATTTATGCTCACAAAATCTAAATTCTTAATCTCAGTACATTCTGAAGTAAGTGGGTACCGGTACAGTACTACAGCCCGTTTTCGCAGGGGTGGACCATATAGGGTTTGCAAATAAATCAGATTTTAGCTTACAGATGATAGTTAAGTTTGCATTTAGGATCATCATATCCGGAAGTTTATCAAAGGCCCAAGGGCGCGAAAACGGGGTGCAATACTGTACTACAGTCTGTAGTACCCACATATTTCTGTAACGCTGTACATTTATTACTTCGTAATACCCGGTTTAATATTGAAAACGTTTCGCCCTTTTTCTCTGAAAAGAGTCAAAAATGCACTGGACGCCTTCCCAAAATAGACAAATTACTCAACATGCCTGCAGCAGATATGGCGGGGAATATCGTCAATTAAAATCTGTTGGGCGTAAAAATCGTCTCAATAACCTGCCCGACCCCTAGCGTTAATCTCTATAGTCATCTTAGAAATAAAATTTGGAATTTGTATTAAATATAGTGATCATCGCTTTGGGCGTATCTACATGCACTCTCTCTACATGTATCTCGCATATCTCATTTTGCGCCCAAGCTGAAGAAGCCGTCAATTTTAAAAATCGGCCGCTGAGAGCAAAGCGCCGCTGCTGAGAAAGGTACTGCTCACGGAGCCTGAGAACGGATATTTGCTAATGATATGTGTACTTCCAGGCCATTGTTCACTCGGCTTCGTACTGGCGAGAGCGATGCATCGCAGAGTCCTCGACTGAGAAAGAGGAGAACACGCCGCCAAACCTGCAGAGAGCTGACTGTCGACGAGCAGGATGGCTACAGCTCTACTGGGACTGGACCTTTGAAGGACGATTCGACGCAGCGTGGACAGCGAAAGCCAAAGACCGAAAAAGCTCCTCCGTATGCGCACCCGCCACGCAGTCCCACGACTTCTTCACCTGTGCTACTGGAAACACCATCATTGCCTTCTTGCCTCCGACTAAGAGCTCTACTGCATGACCACCGTCCTTCGCGGCAAGAGCGTCGAACCGCTGCCCATCTCTACAACAATCGTCATGGTCGCCATCGTGAACCAGTGTCACCGTTCGTGAACCGTCGAGAACTCATGAGAACAAGTCCGGTCTCGTCCCAAAAGCCACGTGTTGGTGTCACCCGCCCCCGTGATCGGTTTGTACCGGCCGACTGGCCGTATCGAGTGGCCAACCTGCGCACGCAGTTCAACCCGACCGGGTTGATGATCCCGACGGTACCCCACTTCGGGTGGTGCGGTTGCTCGATGCCATGCCGCGTGGGGTCGGCAGCAACTCATTGATGCAGATATTCTGCACATTAGGTTGCTGGCCTTACGATGCCAAGTGCAACTACGACTTGAGAAAGTCGTCTTCAGTTTACTTGGCAAGAAACGTCCGCACACGGAAGTTGGCGACTGTCGCTTCGGAGGACACTGAAGCGGGCGCGGTGCTGAGCAAAAACTTGGGCAAATTGGAGCACATGAGTGTGAATCGAGCGGGCCGACCTCACAACGAAGGCTACCGCCTCCTCATGATCCGGCGACCGGAAAGGCCGAGCCACCCGATCCGTGTCGCTACCAACGCTGCTAGTATGGGAGGACTAATGCGTTTTGTGAACCGCTCGTGTGCGCCTGTGGTGCAGTTCATCGAGGTGGCGAATGACTGCCGGACTATCGTGGTGGTCGCCACGATGGAGGAGATTCGTGAAGGCGAGGAGATTACCGTCGACTACGGCACGGATCTCTGGTTTGTGTGTCGGTGCGGCCTCGAGACTTACCGCCATCACGAGATCCAGACCAGTAGTCCGAGATGCATAGACGACGAGTGTAGGAAAGGAGTCCATCCTAACATCCTGTGAATATATGTATCCTTCTTTGAAATGACACAAGTGAAGCTGTACTCCTCTTCATTTCGAAGCTTTCCGTCTGCATTGAAGCTCCGAGAACAGGTTTCGCACCAAATCAAGAGGTACCGACTCATAGTCAACGGTAAGTAAAATCTTGGATCTTTGCTGGCGCGCACTCCCCTTGGGCGCAAACCTGTCGTGAGGCTAGCTACTGACCCAGTGTTATTGGTGGACAGCGGCACACCGCGGCCGAGAGCGTGCTGCTGCGGCGCGCCCTTTATAAGCCTACTGAAAGACGGCTCCGGAGCTCTCATTTTTGGTTTTACTCCGAGCAAGTCGAAGCCTCGATCCTGAGCAAGACCCTTGCGCTAAACCGCACTTCACCACTCTTAGCGCTATTTTCGTCCCCGGTACGCTGTCAGAGCTCCCTACGTCGCCGTCCACTCCTACTAACGTATCGCTAACTACTGTGTTCGTGTTCTATTCTACTTAGATGGCTAAACTAACCGGAAGCACAAATTACAAGCTCTTTGAAGTGCTGCGCCTGCTGAGTCTCGTCTCCCAGTTCCTACCGCTAGGCAAAGATGAATGAGAACGTCTCGCAATTTCCCACAACTCGGACCGTGGACGCGGCGTCGCCGAACGTGACTACGAGAGTCTTCGATGCAAATTCAAGATGCTGTACGCACTCGTAAGCCGACGGGTGTGGCGGACATGCCTCCGCACGTGAAAGAGGCCAAACTTCTCATGAAGAGCATTGACGACAAGGGATGCGTCGAAGAAATGGATGATAGAGCCGACGCCGACGACCACGAAGATGAAGAAGACGGGCAGCCTGACTTCAGCTTCGAGAACGAGGGCGACGACGACTTCTACAACATCTCGTTCTCTATGAACAGCACCGCTAGCACGCACTCCGCCTACGATACCGACACGCACCATCACAATAGTTTTGACGATAATTCAACCACCCAGATCGGCAGCATTGACGAGCTGCTCGAATCGGCCGATGTGCGCGAAGGGCTAGAGGCGTTTGCATCCACCCCGAGACCATCGCCAGGTCCAATCTGCTCCTCTCAACGCCAACTTTGCTCTGCAGAGCTGCCAAAGTCGAACCAGCCACCGATCACCCAATCTAGTGCGAACGCATTGGACAAGTCCTCCATAGCTCGCGCACGCGTGCCGGAAAAGGAAAGAAATACCTGAACTTTTCCAACCGCCTCGGCGGGGGAAACCTGACTGACTTCCGAAGCTCCATTCGTCGCAAACGTGATGCCAAAGACGACAACAACCTCGCCGAGGCCAGCTACGCTAATTGAAGAGAGTACAGGCCACCAAGGCGGCTAGGCAACTTAAAAAGCGCTTGAGCGACTTCGACACGGCGTCCAGCACCATGAGGAGCCGTATTGTCGAGTTGGTTATCCTCATGCGTGAGGACAGCGAGCGTAGAGATGAAGCTCGACGCGCTGAAGAAGAGCAACGCCGTCACGACGAAGTTACAGTCTGCGAAGCGCGCTACCACGCCGAAAAACGTGAAGCTGAAGAACGCCGTCGTCAGGAGAAGCTGGAGATGAAGGAGCGAGCTCGTAGGAGCTTAAGTTCTTCATCTGTGCTCTCGTGAAGAAGGAGTGAAGGCCACGTCGGAGACGGAGTTCTTGCGCTTGAAGTCGCAAGCGTCGAAACGGTCCACAAAGGGAGGAAGTACACATTGTAGCGTTGCATCTCAGGAACAACCCTCTGTTGTCAACCACACAGCCACCAACACGATCCATATTGTCCGTCGACTTTGATTGTATTCACATTGAATTAAAGCTATTTACGCAAATGAACACGATCACGGTTGTCCAAGTTCACCACAGATTTCACGTACTACAGGGACATCAATATCGCACCCGAAACGTCGTCCGTATTTCAGATATGCTCACCGTGCGGACATGGTAGTTGGCAATCCGGAGCAGGTTGCTGAGTTGGAGGCCGCGTAGCTTTGGGTCGTAGGGCAGTGGCAGACGCAAATGACTATAGACCTTCTACACGCTGTCCATATCACACTCCGCTGCCTGCCTCACAGAGGTAATTGCGTTATGCAGCGTGCGCGCTGAGCTGCGCAGTAACGGTTGAATTCGCTCGAGGTCCCCGCCCTTTAGTTGGTCAGGATTCTACTTGTCATCGCCGCGGAGCACGGGAAGGCGGGATTCGATACAGCGTTCATACGCACGTCCGGGCAATAGGCAGGATCAATGAGCTTCATTCGAAATCCCAGCGGTGTTTTTGAATCCTTCCAGGACCCGCGGCAGTTGTGCTTCGACCAGATGATGCATCCGTCGGCAGCGAAGCAAATCGTGCCAGTGACCAGAACTGAGTGTAGCCATCCGCTGTACATAGCATTTTAAAGATCAGCGCTAGATGGTTGTCGCACCTGCAGCATGTAGACAACAACATGGACACAATAGCTGGATGGTATTAATAGTGACAAAGATCTTGTATATGCAGACGTACGCGGAAGTTCTTGCCATCTACAAACCCAAATGTGTGTTGCAACAGAGGCTCGCGTGCATTCACCATCTCTGCCAGCTCTCGCTGTCGAGACGGCGACGACCACGAGATACGTGCCGGAGTGAAGTCCAGAATGGCACACAACAGCGCCTCTTCCGTTCTGCACAGTGATCTCGACAACGTACTGGGGGGGGGCACCCCGAACAGCATGCAGAGCGTAGAGCTCTCTATAGAAGCAAATGATGAGGCTTAATGCTTGGTGATGGTACCGTAACTTCGGCGGTCGGCCTCTACTTCCTGCCGAGTGGATGCAGTAGAATCGCGAGAATCTCCGCAACAAGTTCTTGAAGGCAGTCCTGCGTAGTGCATGAACGTGGTCTTTAGAAAAGCACATACAGTAACCACACAAGAGATGCTTACCTCGTGAGACTTGTAGCATTTCAAAAGTTTGAGTCGAGGCCGTTCTTGTAGAGAGCCATCCACGCGGCGGCGCAGGGTGCATCCAAGCAGCGTACCGTCAGGTAGTGGCGTGTGCACATGGCGGCGCGCCATGCACTCTCCACCACGAGCTGGTGTACATCACGGCGGACACTGGACAGACTAGTTTTACGACTCGAGTAAGCGTCGCACAGCAGCAGCAGGACATTGTCATCGTCATCCTCGTGCATCTTGAGCGCGATCGCCTGACTGTGAAAAGAAGAGTGTCAAACTTCAAGCGGGATCTAGAAAGATTCTACAGTATGCTAGTCCTTCTGAAATTACCCCTAAACATGAAACAACTAATTAAATCAGTATTTTCGCACCGCTGGGACACTTTTCATTGACGAGAGTACCTCTTCTTTCTTAATTTGTGGCGGCACTCAAAACGTATAAGCTGACATAGAAGCCAATAAACCCACCATATCTGCTGCAGGTATGTCGAGTACTTTGTCTATTTTTGGAAGGCGTCCACTGTCGTTTTTACTTTTAACATAACTAAAAGAAGTCATAACGTAACAGCATTCCCTTGAGATGTCCTACGAGCAGATAGACCCTCGCTGCTCACTAATCAGGTCGAACATATGTCCTTCAGTGAATATTACTTTGAAGTATAGTATTCATTATAACTAAAAGTTTTTGTCTAGTCTTACCGTGGCGGTTTGCAAATAATCTCGACCGCAGCGATATAGCATACCTCTATAGGTCGGGCTTAGAAGCCATGTAGGTTAGAGTGGCATAATAGACAGCTAATTTTTAAACACATTTGCCGGACCAAGTCCAATCCAATGTGGTGACGTAATTAGAATAATTAGATCAGCATTTCAGCTTTTACAATAAATTTTCTGCCACTTCGCTCCTTTGTTGAGCATACGCCCTTCCTCAGAGCAGAGCGGTTTATTCCAAGTACAACATGGAGAGCGCGGACCTGTTCACGCTCACTTCTTCTTTTCCTCTCGTTCAAGCAACCCTTTTCGCTCTCACTGCTACTATCATCGATAAATAACTACGCTTTCCCTACGACCAATACGAAGATTAGTACCCCTCGTGTATGGGACTCCACTGGCATGTTAGTCGATTCAACCGGACACTAACTAGCAGTTAGCTTAGGTTAGTATAGTAGCAGAGAAGGACTGTTTTACACTTGAGTTACAACTTTCTTGAGGGATGTACATTCTGCTCCTCCGTATTTTCCTCCACTACACAACATCTAGAATTCTGACATAACTCGATCGTAGGTAGGCAGACGAAGTGCTCCATAGTAGACCACATAAATTGCTATCACTGCTTACACACCGAGACATGATTAAAAGTCAATTAGGAAATTGTGCCAGTAGCCTTTCATGTATCAAAATAAAGTATTAATTTACGTGTTGAATCGGAACAAAGGAAACCCTAACTTTCGTTATGCTGAAATTTCGTTTCCTTTTGCCCACCCATTCTTAGGCTCTAAGTGCAACTGAGATATTAGCGCCAAGTACAAGACACTAGTTAATCGCTAGCTAATATGTACAGCTATTAGCATGTCAATGTCAGGGAGTACACTACCCTCGCAATTTCACTTCGCCAGAAGATTATCGCCTCCAACTAAACACTTTAGTCCTTTGTCTTCTTCGGTTCGACGCTACCTCGGCAGCCCCGTCATTATTGTCTCCTCGGTATTGGAGAAATACGACTTCAGGTTTGCTTGCTGACATCATTTCCCGAAGGTGCGGCGTTAAAATCCTGACGTGTCTATGTCGGGAGGTGCTGTGACATATTCCAGATATACGACGTCAGTTCCGATTACTGGCATCGTTGCTGCATGATAACCTTAGCTTACGGGGCTATCTGGGGGATTTGCGTGGTACTCGACGTCGTTTGATGAGACTCCTACGCCGCCTTTGTCTCCTGAATCTGTAGAATCTGCCGTGACAAACCTGATGGAGAAGATGAGCACACCTGCAGCTTCGTGCTTTACGAAAACTCGGTCACTGGCGCTGAGTCAGCACAGGGTCGATGCTTCTCGCTGTCGCTGCAACCGTAAAATAACCTTCAGGGCCTCGTATCAGCAGACGTCTGGATGGGCCTATTCTTCGGGGTTCATCAATGGAATCGCGGTTCAACATCTTTCATACGCTCGCTTTACGACGCTTGTGCATAAGGAGCGTACTACAGTACATGAAGTACGAAACTTTCTTCCCAAGAAAGATGTCGGACGATTTTGAGAGCTCGACATCTTTCAAAAGCATTCAAAGCGGAAGCGGGTAGCGTCACCAAGGTGGGTTGCTTTGTGCGTACTAGCAAAACCGGCGTCGCGCCTACCCGTAGTAGTCTCGGGCCAAATCCCACATCGCGCGTGCTTAATCGTGAGACCCAGACAGCACGGACCCCGGGCTGATATCGAGTGGATCAAAGTGACACTCCCGCATGTCCAGTGCTCCGGTAAAGGTGGGATTCCTTGCATCGAGAAAGTATCTCCTCCAGTCGTCGTCACTGACAGATGACTCCTGGTTGAACATTTCAAACCGGTAGATTCACATTAAGGTGCTCGGCTTGATACCCCCTATCGGCATTACGGACACCTGTGTCTCTGTTACTTGGATCAACACGTCCACGCGTCTCTTGTACACGATGTAGCTATCCACAAACGCCCGGTTTTCTTCTTGGAGCTCCCTCGATACAACGAGACTGGTAAACTCGCGCCCGTTGCTAACGTCACCCTTGGTTCTCCACCCAGACCGCCACGGACGTCTTGATTTTTGCCGACGTGTGTAGGCTTGAGAATATCAGCGAGCAGCACCCATCGAGCTTCAACATGCGGACGGTCGGCTTCAATCAGACTCTCCAGACGTTGTATGCAAACAACACAGAAGGTTGACGTAAGTAAGTACAGGCAGATTATTCAAGTTGAGCAGGTCATCGATCGCCATGCGCGAGGAAATGGTGGAGAACGGGCTCAAGTTCCTGCAGCACCCGAATGTTCAGGTGCGTGCTGTGCTCTGCAGTCTCGTATGTGCTATTCTGACCCCGCAGATCTATAGTCAACGCCGCTTTCCGAGCGAGTTTCGTTCCTGGAGGGCACTCATCGCTGCCTCCGCAGCCTCTAAGATGCGTACGTGTTCTTCGATTCGTATCCTTTGTTCAATCATCCATTGTAGGATCTGCTCATGTTGCTTCTGGAATTTCCCGATGTCTTCGGAGCGATGACGCCTTGGTGATGTCGCACTTGACTACTGTGGTGGATGGCGACTGGTGGATGTGCTGGTTGATCGGTCGGATGCCTGGTATCTTGATCACCTATGCTACGCTGGGCATACATCATAGTCGTTGTTTCCTTCGCAACCACAACGTCTTCTCCCTCATGGAGTGACATGTCGCGTAGTCCGCTCGAAATCCAAATTCCGACAGCTTTTCTTAAAAAATTCCAATCGGACTGGTTCTAAAATAGAGAGGGTAGGGTTAAACCTAAGATTTGCTGTAATGATATCAAAGATAGTAATTGGCGGTCGCAAGTCCTACGTAAGGCCTCCGATCTTACGTAAGAGGCCGCTCTGGGCAATAAAGTCCGAATGACATATTTCGCCGGACATTTCCTCCTTCGTAAGTCTTGATCAAGAGACCTGACCTATATGGATAAGCCAGTGATACAAGTACGCAGAACGCAAATGATTCGATCAGTATTCGCCCTGAGTGCTACGCGTTAACCGCATAAAATAAAAAAATAAAAATCATTTTTAGGCATGTAGAGCTTTCTTTAGTATTTGGTATCATACTGTAAACGACAATGCTAGGCTAGAAGAGAGCGTTACGCCTCACTGTCTGAAAGTCATCTACTATGCAGTGACTCGTTCAGAGCTCTTCACTTTTATGTTGCGGCCTAATTTCCAAGGTAGGTTTAATGAACCCCTACGTAGGAGCAGGGGTCCTACGAAGGGCCTTAAATCGGAGGGCATTTTGGCAGAAAGGCACAAAAACGAATTTTGTTCTCCCTGATTGACTTAGGCTGTAGTAGTAAAAATCTGAAGTGATCATTAAAAGAAGAAAAATAACGATGCACACGAGACGTCATATGAACGGACGTCCGGTTTGGCCATAACTGAAGCGAAACTGCTTCTAACTGCCCGCGCTCATATGCTGGCGAATAATACATGTCCGTTAGAACTTGCTCATTGCATCTACCCGTTGGCGGGTAACACCGAAGGTTTGAAGATGCTGGTGGTAGTCATTACCCCCATCTAGAGAGTTCGAGCCGCGTTTTCAAGACAGAAATCACTTTGCAGTCGAGTAACACCGACACCTAGCGGCAACGCAACATGCTAATACAAAACATACGTAGCACGCGAAATAATCTCGCATATTTTCTTTAACGGATTAACATTGAGCACTGTCGGTAAAGAAAAAGATTGATCTTACCCCCCCTGGAATTTTTATTTAAAATATAGCTATGTCATTTTATCTTTTGTTGGTGGTATACACATGATAGAGATACATCGGAGCACCGACCGGAATGCTAGATCGACCGATTTTCGGACTCAGTTTGGACACGATCCCGGCTGGAGTCTTGGAGCTTACAGAGCTGATGTTTCCATTACTCATCGCACAAGATCACGATCTACTCGCAATAAGTCTCTCCATGCTCACGGATTGTTGCTGACGCATGGGAGCGGCACAGTACCTCCATGCGATTTGGCGGTGGTGGGTGGCGAATTTTGACGCAGCCAACCTCGTGACAGCAAGTCATCACGGATCTCGGCTGGCAGAAAAGTCGCACTGTGAGTCAATTACTCAATCGACAAAGGGTCCCCACATTTGCAGAGGTGACTGCACGCAGCCCCTGGAGTTAACGGGTGGTTTGGACTGATCTACTAGCAAAAATTACGCAAAAAACGTTAGGTTTCTCATAGATTTAAGAGCGTACGCACACCACAAATGAACACCTCTACCCATTGTTGGCGACATCAAGCTTTTGTACGCCAGCACAATCAACGGAAAGATCCAATCGCTAGTCATTTACGACCGGTCTTTTGAAGATGCCGACGCCTGGTAGGTAGGTTGAAGATGCTCACCTGGTAACATCATCGCCGGGAGTACAAAAAGCGGTCGATGCATTAGCGAACGAGGCCATGTATTTGACGACGAGCTGTCAGTTCGATCCTTACGAGCGGCTGAACACGAAATCGAGGTGGACTACAGTGCGGAATATGCTAGTGCGGCTATAGCTTCCTCATGATCCGAAGGTGGCACCGTGTAAGCAACGGAGAGGGGGGCTAGTGACGAGAAGCAATACGCTTCACCAGGGGAGGGGCCGAATGGACAAGGTACGATTGAGTAACAGGACACAGCTAGTCGTTAGCATAATATTTAACACTATTGTATCTCACTAAAATGAAATATGTTAAATGACTAAAAAAAGTGTTAAATGTTTGCGCGTAGTGATGTGGTCAACTCAATATCTCTAGTGTAAGGTAAATTGCCAATTTAGTAGCCTCAGTGAGGGGAATGCATAAAACTGTTCATAACTTCAAGTGTAATGCTCGGATTGAGGTGCTACTTGTGTCATTCCAAAGAAGAAACACAATGTGATTTTTATGGTTTATAGATATCGACTAAAGCAGCCGTGTTATATCTACGCATTTATGTGCGAAAACGATCGATTCGACGGCGTTGCCAGTTTAGTAGCCGTTTTTAGACTGGCTTTTATTAAGCTCTGCTTTTCAACTGACAGACCGAATGTTCCTCAGGGCTAGGGATTGGCGGGTCCTGTCTTAAGTCATAACAAGATAAATCGAGCACACACGGGAGTTTATCGATTGCTGTAGTGCCAAACCTTACACCCTCACCGGGTGCATCTCAATCACAGCAAGCATGGGATGCGTCTCAGTCGCAGGCTCAACAGCAAGCAGCGCGGACATCGCGTGCTGGGTCTCGATCGCGGGTAATACCGCCGTTTCTCTGTTTGCTCCTGTCGGAGCTCGTTTTTTTTTCTTGTTGGATGCTTCATCCTCTTCGAGAAGCTTAACGGTCAGAATTCTACCTCCTGAACTCTTTCGCTTCCTTTTACTTGACTTTGGTAGCGATGCAGGCAGGATCAGAAACTCCTGTCGCACGTCTGATACTTGAAGTTAATTAGCTTTACGCTGCATCGGAGGTTTCTTGTGGTAAGCGGGGCGACGGGCCACCTCGCGAGGGATACCTTTACGTGCTGCAGTCACGTTCTTCTTGAGGATACTATGCGTTATGTCGCATTTATCACTGGTTGTCTTCGCATGGCCCCAGCTAGCACCGCTTGGACGGTCTCGTCCAACTTTGCATCTGTGTAGTTCCCGCCAAGTTGTCCCATTGCTCTTGCCGGCGGGGAATGTGGATTTCCAGTCAGGAACTGGCGGGAATGGGTTGCTCTGGGGGGGATATTAAGTGCATCAGGTTTTCTTACAAAAACGTCCGATATCGTTTTTGACAATCAAATCACGATTCGAAAAGATGCATTGTCAGCACTGGTTAAAAATAAAGCGGCTACTCAACTGGCAAAACTACTAAATTGGCAATTTACCTTATCATACTGTAGCTGCAGATCGCTGTGACGAGAACTGAGGAGCTTGCCGAGCTTCAATTATTTAATGAGTCAATACGCACACAGCGCAGCAACCAATGGTATCCTATAGAAGCAACAGTGTGAACAACTTCAAGCATCCTCAAAATCAAATTGACCACTTTCTCCCCAATGAATCATTAGCAGCTACACCGTGCCACTAGCGCACCCTCCACACATGAGCGCAAAAGAAAGACTAAGGAGTTTCAAGGCGCGATAACATCTTGCAGATCCAGAATGCTGGGGACGATTTGCCTGGAGTTAGGTTTACGTGTCGGACGCAGGAAGTACATGAGTTCAAAACTGGCTTCTTAAAGTTGCTCGTCAAAACCTGGCAATGAAAACAGCAGCTAAAAGCCACGGGGTCTCTGCATCACAGCTCCTCGAAGAAATGTTGCCACCAAAAACAAAATGCACCAGAGCGGGGAGACCACTGCACACTGATGAAGAAGCTTGTAGCAGCTGCCGCAGCGCTCGACAAAGCAAATAAGCGATTTCCAAACGTTCCCTGCTGCTGCAATGATAAATGAGGAGCTGACTCGATGCCAAAAATAATTCGCAGCGAGAAGAGGATTAAAAGAAAAGTGTAAATAGTAGCTATCCATTGATACTGATGATTCACCATGGCGATATTAGCGAACTTATTAAATGAAAGCAAATTGCACGGCATAGATGCCCCGTATTAATTAAAAAACCGGTGCAACATTGAATTGTGTTCATTAGAATAAATTTTGTACCATTCAAGTAATATCAGATAAAGACCCGGTGTAAATTTAATTCCGGTCTACAAATTAATAAAAGACCTCTAAGGCACAATAGGTCCACTGTGGACCGGATCTTCATACAAGACGGGGAGGGGGGGGGGGCACGGGTCTTCCCCAAATTTTTCAGCTTTTTTTTTAATAGATTCAATCACAGACTTGCCCTGCGCCTTGTCAGTGCTAAACCTTTAAGTAGCTGCTTGGATAGTGATCCCGACTACAGGCTCGTGACTATGGCTAAACGACTGGTAGCTACGCCAATAACTACATTCTTCACGAAGAAACCCCGTCCTTCTGGCTCTCCTAACAAGCCGCTAGATCCTCCTCTAGCTACACTCGCCGATCGAGCCAAAACCGATGGCTTGGTCTGGTGCACAAGTAATGATGTTGCTGAAATTACCGAGGATTGCAGTGTTGCCGACTTCATTAGAGCGGATCCAGCGGATCGCCCTCCCAATCTGTTTCATATTCGGCAGTTGCGTGAGAGTCCCGAGCTTTTCAGAAGAATTCTTTGAGCTTACGCTGAACAAGGGCCATACCAACCTCGATTAGACGCATATAAATCGCGTGTCTTTGGAAATCGGTCTCGTGCGTTCCAGTCGGGATGGTTTCAGCGTTACCCTTGGTTAGAGTATTCCCTAAAGATTGATGCGGCTTTTCGCTTTTGCTGCTATCTCAGCAGAGAGATCATGGTGGTAGAGGATGAAATGTCAGATTTTACGCAGCCAAGCGTGGGTTACAGCAGCTGGAAAATAGCAATGATGAGCAGTGGTTTTTTGAAGCATATTGGAGATGCGTGTTCGAAGCATAAAATAGCAGAAGCCGCTCTTGACAGCCTCATTTCTACGGATCATGATATCAATTTGGCGCTCCTGCAACAAAGTCACAACGAACGACTTCAGAATAGAGCAAGACTGAGGACGATCTTGGATATCGGCCTGTTTTTAGCTCGACAGGGATTACCATTCCGCGGTGGTGACGAAAAGGTAATTTTTTTTGAATTTGTCCTACTTAGTTATTGTTTAATACAGTAATAGCGGATTTTCTTTGTCTGACTTTACTTTACGATAGAACGGTTCTTCAAATCGTGGCAATTTTCAGGAGCTGATACGCTTTATAGCTGAGCACGTACCGAACTTTTGTTACAGATGGCTAATGCAGGCTACAATGCTAAGTACACGTCGCCTTCTGTTCAACGCCAACTACTCCATTGTGCCGCTACAGCAATTCGACAGCACATTGTGCTGAAAAAGCTAGGAGATGGATACTTTTCGCTGTTAATTGACGAAGCCAGTTGTGAGGCAAAGTCTGAACAAATGGCAGTTGCTCTTAGGTTTGTGAGCAAAAACGACTGTAAATGTGTTGGAGCGATTCATGGGAGCCGTGCATGTGGCCGATACCGGTGCAATTACACTTTATAATTCACTGGTAGCCAAGTTGACGCTGTGGGACTTAGGTTTATCGCGGTGCCGTGGTCATGGATACGATGGGGCTGCTAACATGGCCGGATATTATAACGGTCTACAACAGAGAGTCCGAAATGAGTGTCCCTTTGCACATTTTGTTCACTGTTTCACCCATTGCCTGAATTTGGTATCGGTTGCGATGGCAAAAAAGACGTTATCAGTTGCTGAGTACCTGGATACTGTTAACAGCGTGCACACAATTTGCAATGCCTCCTGTAAACGTAAAACACATTTGCGAAGAGCAGCCGAAGACGAGAAAGAACAGCTAATTAGGGATGGATATCTAGAAACAGGGAAGGGTCTCAACCAGACGATAACGACAGAACCCCTCAGCAATACTAGGAGGAACTGTCGAGTACGAGCCCAACTTCGTATTGAGTGGATTTGGTTCCCGATATGTAATGCTCTCGGTGATTTTGCTGATAACGGCGTTAAATTTGTATAAAAGAGCTGAAGCTGTTGGCATTGGACAGATTATGGAGTTTTTCATTCATTTTTCACAAATAGGTATTTATTGCTGTATTGGTGAAAGCCAATATTTTATCACAGGAAAGACATGAACATTGCGTCTGCTGCCAGACTAGTGGAGCAAATTACTATTGAGTTTATTGAAATGCGTGATAACGCTCTTCATGACGACGATCCAGCCACCTTTAATGCGATTTGGGAAAGAGCAGAGCAATTTTGTGAAGCTTTAGTCTCCGAAGGTGAAGAATCTCTAGTACCTGATAAACAGGCACAGTGGGTGAGGCGGGGCGGGTGATACCGTGGCAAAAGGACGTCCTGGTGTACCTGGAGCTGACGTACCCATTTCATTAAACGCTACTCAAGAAAGCCATTATCACAATATTGTCTATGAAGCTATTCTAACCAATATTATTCAAGAGCTGCAGTCACGTTTCGGTAAAAGTATGATTCAGCTGATGGAATTGTGTGCAAGCCCTCAATACTCTTTCAAGCGTTGGAAGGAAGATGACATTACTCGAATTGCTAAAGAGTACTAATATGATGAATTTTCACGACCAATTGGAAATTTTGGGGTCCGAGGTCAAGCGATTCGGACAACTCGAAAAAAAAAGGTAGCCGTTTGACTTGCTTGAGTACGACTGAAGATCCAAGCGTCGCAATGGCTGAGTTCGACATGCATGCAATCTTCCAAACACTTTACAGACTCATATGTCTTTTTCAGTGATGAAAAGAGTTAAAACACGTCTAAGAACTACACTTGCTCACGATATGCTGTCGGATTTGCTTTCTCTCGCCATCGAGCAAGACCTCATATATTTCATTGACAAAGAAGGAATTATTGACGCGTTTAGTAGGATAACAGAGCGAAGGAATGCATTGTGATAATTGAAGCCAAAATTTTCGTTTTTCTGTTCGGCCCCCCAGAATTTAGTGCTGATTTCGTCCCTGGGTCCACAATGTCAAAATCGCGACGACGACACACAATGCTTCCCCCCCTGTGGAAGAAGAAAGAAGTGCGCTAAACTGGATCAATACTGCAGGGGAAAGGATACACTTTGTATTACCAAGAACAATGTTTAAAAGCCTTTACTCATATATTAATAATAGCCCTTCGTTTATTAAAAAAATAATCTTCTAAAATATAGAAGCCGGGCTATTATATATTACCCAGGCTACTATTCCTTTGCACCTACTATTCTCTATTACTATTCCTTAGTACTTTCTATTCTTTTTTGCTAGCAAACCTATTCATGGTAAAATCGGTTAGCTTCATGCGATATTATTACGGTCAATCCTATTTTGCTGCCACAGACCAGATGATCTTTTGCTTTTGAGGTTTTAACGAACCTGATCAGCGGGATGTACCGTATAATTATTATGCACCACTGCAATGAGCTAGGTAGGGGGAGTGGGGCTGCTCCGACAAGCTGTGTTCTGCCAAGGCGAAACTCCTATAGCTTGCTGCGGTTGAAGGGCATGATAAAAACGATCTTTACATGGCGTAAGCTTGCACATTGTCAAATCGAGAGCTGCTATTTTGTGCTGGTGCTCCTAGCATTCACCAGCATGCATTGGTTATTAAGCAATTGAAGTCACATGGAGGTGATGGTTATTAACCATTGGTTAATAAAAATGGCCAACTTATTCGAAATATGCAAGTTGGCCCACTGACTTTGGGTTCATTAAGCCTGAGGTTGAAGTCGTGTCTTTTTTATACTTCAAAACCTGACTTCAAAAAACGGCAACAGGATAGGGGCGAAAATGACTGGCCGTGATGAAGCCAGATGTGTAGGCTTCGAAAAGACCGCCAGTGACGCACCAAGCTGAGCCGGCCAAGGGCATATATATACAGGATCAATTAGACACCCACGGCTGCAAAATCTACAGCTTCTACAGTACCTGCTCTAAAAGCAGCAACATTCTTCGGACCGTCGATCTGCCTACAAAATTCAAGTTAAAGAAAATTTCGGCGGGAAAATATCTAAAAACAGATAAAACCTCGGAGAAGAAAAATGAAAAACCTCTTGACTTAACTAAAACGCGGGGGGGTGCGGCTCTTGGAAAACGCGAATCGGTGCCCCACACTAAAAAGAGACTCGGCGGAAGAAACGAACGGCGTGTACCCGCGCTTTGGTCTCCTATACTTGCTGGTTAATTGCCTGCCGAGATGCTGACGGAGAGCGCGTCGTTGTCGGCGCCACTGGACAGCGGGGAGCGCCGCGCTGAAGCTCGCCACCGCCGCCGCGAGGCTGCTGCACCGTACTCCAAGCGGACAAAAGCCGCGGAAGACGAAGACGACGTCGAGTTCTTTGCTCGCGAAACAGACCACAACCGACGCGGAAGCGGCTTCCTGGCTCGTCTGGCCAGCTACATCCCCATTGTGAACAAGCTAGTGACGGAGAAGGGCGACGAGGAGGAAGCGGAGCTTCAGCCAGCCGTCGACACGTCCGTTGATAGTATCGACATCCAGACGACACAGGAAGACGTAGACGAGGAAGACGAGGCGCAGGAAGAGACTGAGAAGGAACAGGAGACCCCGGAAGAGACTCAAAAAGAGACACCAGCGACACCCGAGCCATTGTTAGAGAAGTCGAAGGAGCCGACTTCAAAATCTGGAGAGTGCACGATATCCGCTCTTGGGGCAAAATAGCCTTAGAAAATAAAATAAATACAAAAACTTACCGAGATAGGTGGTCAAAGTTGGTTTTATCTCCAGCAGCCCATCCAGCAGATTGCGAGCGGCAAGAAGGTTAAGCTCGCCCTCCCGTGACAGCAGCGTCGACAGCGGAGAACGTAGCCCCGCTATGATGCGTCAGCAGCGGAAACGTGGAGACAAGCGTGTGTTCCTTCCTGGCCCTTCACAGCAATCGAAGATGCTGCGCATCTCCAACTCACTGCGTCGACGCAAATCGACGTCTCCATCGCCCCACGACTCGGCTTTGGCTGTGATTAAACAGAAAAAAACCATCACAATGGAGGAGTTTGAGCGACTGCAGAAGCAACTGCACGACATGGTGGAGACCACGCCGCATACTCAACTGGCAATGGCTCAAGCAGCTCTGGCCAATGGACTCGAGCGCCCGTTCACACGCGGTTTCCCCGGCCCCACGTCGTTCCCCGGATACGTCCCTGGCTCCATTGCCAACCAGAACCACGGGGCGTTGACCGTACGCGACGAGAGGAAGGAAATCGCGACGAAGAGTGGCGTTCCTTTCGGTAAACGTCCTAGAAATCACGAGAATGGACCCATTCTCCTCTCAGGCTCTGCTCTGCGCGGACAGTTGACACGCGAGGAGCGTCTGATGCGCAAGCCTCGCCCGTCGCGTCTATTGACTGGCGCTCAACGTGATGCTGCTGCGCGTAACGCCTACTCTGCGGCGGTGGCGGAGAAGATTTTGTCGACGCTGAATAAAGTGCAGACTCCACTAGAGCGGGAGGCGCAGAAACCCACGCCGTCGACATCCATGTCGTGGGCGAAGTATCACCTTTCGATAGCTAATGATGAGAAGAAGAGCCTTGAGAATGGCATGGCGTTTGACAGCGACGACGTGGCACCTCCGACGAGTACAGTGCCTCGCGTGGCGTTCCCGCAGCCCTCGCAGAAACCTGCTACTTTGACTTCTGGCAGTGTTCCGAAGGCTTCGACGACGCCGATGAAGGGCGCGACGAGCTCGTCGAACGATGGGACGGCCTTCTCGCCGCAGGCGGTGTCAATGACTCCTGCCCTTACTCGTGTACCGGAGCAGGCGAAGTTTGAGAAGATTGGTGAGTTCAAGTTCACACTTCCACATCGCGTTGATGGAGTTAACCAGGTGGGCGTGAACGACGAGGACACTCGTGTGAAGTTTGTGTTTTCCCCACCGCCTAAAATGCGAGAGCCACCAGTGAAGGTGTCGAGTCAGAAGACTGCGGCGAACGGAATCGGCGCTGCTCCGTTTGATTTTATGCCGTCGTCGCCGAAGACAAAGACGACTGAGTGGGCGTCGAAGCCACCAAAGACCAAAGAATCCGAGAAGCCCAAGGCTGCGGAGAAGCCCGTCGCACCCAAGGATGAGACTGAAAAGCCCAGCACTGTTGACTCTGCGCCGGCTGCTTCTACCAATGGAGTTGTGAATCCTCTTGCGAGATTTATGCAGCTAAAGCCAGGACAGTGGAAATGCCCTGGATGTAGTGTTCTGAATGAGGCGACCAGTGCCAAATGTCCGTGCTGTGAGACGGCAAACCCTGCTGGTGCGTCTGCACCTAAGGTGACTGCTCCATTAGCTTCTAAGCCTGCTGGATCGATTTCATCAAGCGGCTTTAGTTTTGGTGCTCCTGCGGCGGACGCTAAGATGGATGCGGACAAGCCGACTGCAGGATCCATTACAGCGAGTGGCTTCAGCTTTGGCGCTCCACTTGCAGAATCGAAGAAGGAATTGGAGAAACCGGCTGGATCAATCTCGTCAAGTGGATTTAGTTTCGGTGCCCCAGCAAGTGCTGCTGCCAACAAGGATAGTGAGAAACCCGTCTCAGGAATCACATCTGGCGGATTCAGCTTTACTACCCCAGCTCCTGCTCCTGCATCCGCCTCAGACAAACCAACTGTTAGTTTCGGTGTTCCCGCTGTGTCGGACTCAAAGTCTGATGGTTTTGGTAGTGCTGCCCCGATTTCGTTCGGATTTTCGCCTCCCGCGAAGAAGAATGAAGATACACCGAAGATATGTGCTGTAACTGAGAAGGCTGCTGCTTCATCTTTCTCTCACGGAGCTTCACCGTCAACTTCGGCTCTGGCTGCCTCGACAGCTACAACCAGTGGGTTTACGTTTGGCGCTACCAACGCCAGTACTGCCGATAACTCGAGCAAGTCCACCAAACGTAAAGCTCATGAACTGGGAGAGCTTAAGAAGGATTCAACATCATTGTTTAGCTTTGGTACAACCGCGACGGCGACCACTGAGGCCCCGAAGGCGAGTGCGCCCGCCTTCAGTTTCGGTGCTTCCCCTGAGCCAAAGCATACAAGTCCGAAGGAGGATTCGGATCGCCCTAAGAAGCGTATGGCTCCGTCGTCTATGACCACTGGCTCGAAGCCTGTGGCATCCAATCCGGCTTTTTCTTTCGGAGGGGTATCAAAACCGCCCCAAGTGCCTGCGAAGAATAATACTGGTGTCAATTCTCCCACACCATCGTTCTCGTTCGGTGGATCGAACAGCTCGACGACTACTGACAAGCCGAAGGAGACGGCAGCTCCGTCTTTCAGCTTTTGTGCGGCCTCCACCGATAAGCCAGCAGAGTCGAAGCCGAAGGAGACGACACCGCTGACGACTGGGTTTACATTCGGATCATCTTCGACTACTTCAACCTCGGCCACAAAGCCTAGCGCTGGCTTCGGACAGGCAACAACAGAGTCGAAGGGCCCTGCATTCTCTTTTGGCGCTTCTACGGCGAGCCCAGCTCCTGCTACCTCGACCCCTGCCACGACTGCGCCAACTGCATCAACTGGCTTCACGTTTGGCCAGAGCTCGACGACGTCCGCCACTAGCAATGCACCTGCATTCGGCGCCGCTCCGGCTACGTCGTCTGGCTCATCTTTCGGCTTTGGCGTGTCGACAGCACCCTCCACTGGTACTTCGGATCCCCCCGTGCCGGCAGCTCCTGCGTCGACACCTGCGTTCACTTTCGGTTCGTCTTCTACCCAGTCTGCAGCATCCAGTGGCTTCGGCTCGTCAGGTTCTGCAACGTTTGGCCAGACACCTGCAACCACTTCGGGCTTTGGTTCCACCTCGGCGGCTTTCGGATCAGGCTCTAGTGCATTTGGATCTGGCGCCAGCAGTGGAGGCTTCGGTAGCTCGTCTAGTGCTAGTCCCTCGACTGCGTTTGGCAGCTCTGCATCCACGGCACCAGCTGCACCGGCCTTTTCTTTCGGCGCATCCATCCAGGCTCCGGCTACCAATGCATCTGCCAACCAGCCAGCGTTTTCGTTTGGCGCGACCAGCGTTCCTACCCCCACTGGTTTCGGAGCCGCACCTGCGCCTTCTAGCGGCTTTGGCTCCAGCGCACCAGGAGGCTTCCGATCTTCTAGCCCTGCACCCGCCTTCGGCAACCAATAATGCCCCTGCAGCCCCCGTGTTTGGCAATAGCCTACCGCCTCCGACAAACACATTTGGCGCCCCCGCCTTCGGCGCTCCTCCAGCTAGCGGGTTCGGCGGTGGCCCTCCCAGCTCTGGATTCCGTACGCCTAGCCCAACTCCGGCATTTGGCGCTGCTCCTGGAGCTCCTGCCTTCGGTGCTGCCCCTGCTCCAACGTTCGGTGCCCCCCCTGCTGCTCCCGCTTTTGGAGCCGCTCCTGCTGCTGGAGCCTTCGGCGCTCCTTCTGCTGATGGCGGATTCAACATGGGAGCCGCTCCTCAGCATGTGAAGGGCCGACGCATCCTGAAGGCCAAGACTCGCACTCGGCGAACGTCATAGAAGCAAGAATGAATCAATTTATCATGCAATGTTTTATAATTTAACTGTTTGCAAACGACTGAGGGCAAAGTGAAGCTGCGTCAGACCAAGTGCCGACTGCAGTGCTTATCGATAATTTCACTGCTTTGCTTTTGAAGCTGCCAGGGTTGTTGATGGAGGAAGAGCAGCCTAATTCTGGAGGTGAAGGGTACGATATAAAAAGCACCAGGCACTTTTGCATTCGACCTCGAAGCAACATGGCGGACACGGCGGGGGCTTCCACCGCGGCCGTGAGCATTGGTAACTACAAGGGCGTCATGCTCTGCAATCGGCCGTTCAACGGAGTTTCGAGCAGTTAAGTGGCCAGCACGAACAATTGAAGCTGAAGAGTCTGACCTTGTGAGCTTTTTTGAGCAGCGTTGACAAAGGAGACTCGCTACGGTGCCAAGCCAAACAACAACAATGTGGTCGACAACAGCAAGGCGGCATTTCTCGCAGGCAATCCCGGGGAGCCTCTAGGACTTAACGTACCAATTCACAGCGAGCCCGCGGTGAGTTGGCTGTGTTCATGGGCTAGTTCAGATGAAATGGTCTCTAATATGCAGCTGGTCCTTAGCACGCTATCCGTCGAGACAAAAAGAACACAGCTATGTCGAAGCATAAGAAATGGCTCCACGATCTACAGAAGGAACGCACTCGACTACAAGAAGCTCTAGTAGAGGACGAAGAAGCTGCTCAAAGGCGACGAGAGCGATTCTCGCAGAGAGAAGCCAAGATGCGTGAAGCTGTGCGCAGTACAAGTAACAACAATGACGAGGAGGATCCAAACCCTGACGCCGGTCCTGCGGAGAAGAAGAAAAACTTGAATCGTCCCATGTGGGCACTAACGAAAGCAACTGCCGACGAGAAGCTTGATTGCTTGGAGGACGCTGAAGCTAATGATCTCATTGAGTTTGCGAACAACCTCAACATTGATCAGTTTATGGACGACGTGGAGATTAAGGCACGCGTCGCACAAGTCGAGCAGCAGCTAGCTCAAGTGCAGTCTATTGTGGACTATGAAGAGGCTGAAGAAAAGCGCTGCGAACGCGAACAGCAGCGACTTGAAGAGCTTGCCGACGGTGGCGGTGCTCTCAACGGGAACGACCTGTCTCGACTCGGATGGGATCGTGCAGACGCTAAAGACGGCGACGACGATGCCATGAGTGTGGCAAGTAGCGTGCTGTCTGAGTGCAAGTCGATTCGGTCAGTGCACTCGGTTCGGTCAGTTGCAGCGATCACGAAACGTGTTGAGGCCAAGCTTGGGGGCTCCACTCCGTCCGAAGCGGGCAGTACTTCACCTGCACCACGCATTGTGACAATCGACGAAGAGGAAGGTGTTCGGATGCAGATCAAGTGTCTTCCGAGTAATTTACCCTATATCCATAGGAACCCTGCTATTTAGTTAGATTGAGATAACTGGCCAGGCTCTTCAAAGGGCCGCTTCATTTTTTTTTCTTTGTTTTTTTTTAGGAGGGAGGCGGGTCCTAGATAATATCTTGCAACTTTTAACATGAGCCGACGCAGCATGGCTTCACAAATGGAAGAGGCCAAGAAACACGGCACGCTTCACCTCATTCAATTTCAACTCACACGAGTACCGTCTGAGCTCTTCTCAAAAACTCGGTCTGGGCCATCCTCATCCACTTCATTCAGAGAACTTACCACAACATTAGTACGACTCGATCTCAGCTTCAATCAACTGGAGGGGTCACACGCCATTCCTGACACGATTGGATCGCTAGTTGCTCTGCGCGAGCTGTACGTGAACAACAACCCACGTCTGAAGCGGCTACCTAGCTCAGTCGTCCATTGCACTAAACTGCAAGTGGTCGATACAAGTTCGTCAGCACTCGATTCACTGCCGCAACAACTTGGTCGTCTGCAAAATCTTCGCGTCATCAATATCGATGACACCCCTTTGCAGTGTCGCTGGGAGATTAAGGGCCATCTCCTGAAGAAAAACGAGAACGACGGACCTCTGATCTTCTCTTTCTCTTGCTACACCATCCCCTTCCAACCAGCTACCACCACATCAACCGGTAGTCCCGCCAAAACACCCCCATCATCATGCCAGCAAATATTGCGGAAGCTGCGCCGTAAGGACGAGCGCGAGCAACTAAAACGCGAGTTGTTCGATCTCCTTCACGACAAAATATATCGCCTCATGCGTCACAATGACAGTGCAGCGGCAAGCATGATACTCCACATCGCGTTACGCCGAGTACTCAAGTTGTTCCCACAGGCCGCCGATGTCCGCTCCTTGGTTCGCAACGCCGAGCGTCTATTTCCGCAGGTCTTCTCCATGGAAAGTTTCGAGAAACTGGATGCCACACGCCTACGTCGCGAGTTTGATGTATTGCGAACTGCCACCGAACGCAAGAAGCGTGCTGCTGACCTCGAACTCAAGATCCGCAACTTGTATTTTGACCGGATCGACCCAACGACGGTGGAAAGAATGGTGCACCAGATCTACGATCACTTGCCACAGCTGTCCGACATTAAGTTTCTCATCAAGCACGCGCCAAGACTGTTCCCGAAAGAGGCACGCAGCGTGAACGGTGAGCAGATTAAACGGGATCTTGTATCCTTGCAGCAACAGTTTGCGCACGAGCGTGCTGCCGCAGTCGACAAACTCCTGGCCGCCGTGAAAACTCTGTACAGTGATACCGAGCCAGATCATGTACGGACTCTCGTGGATAGCGTCGCCGCACTCTTCAAGGTACATGAATTGAACACTTGACGGCGTTGGTGCCACTTGTTCTCCTGCTCAGTTTCTTTGTATGTTACAGAACACTACAGAGCTGCTGAATCTCGCCGCCGATGCGTCAGTGTTTTTCCCTGCAGACTTTCTGAACGCCCAGCCAGCCGAAGTTCGCTCCAGTTTCTTGCGTATGAAAGCCGAGATCATGGGAGATAGCGGATCGCCAAAAAACATCGTACGCTAGCAGTCGCCCATTGGCGCTACGATGCAACAGGACCGCCTACTAACCGTTGTTAATTCTCATTTCGACTTGGCATTCAATCAGAGGACTGACCTCCCCCTGCTTTCTCATCTTCCTTCTTCATGCCTTCATCGTCGTCTTCGCTCCCATCACCTTCCTCTTCACTGTTTTCAGCATCAGCTTTGTCTTTATCAACGTGTACCTGGGCGTTTGTGAAAAGCGACCGACGCCTCTTACCGTTGCTAGACTGAGTTACTTGCAGATGCGCCGTCAGACTCTCCTCTATCTGATGCAGCTTGAACGCGCGCACTTCTGTGCCACTGACATTGATGTGGGCTTGTGCTTGTGCGCAGTCTTCTGCGGTGGAAAACATCAGCAAGACACTCCAGTCCTTCAGTCTACCAGGTGTGTGTGCTTCCTGACTGTCTTTCCGCCCACTGCGGCAACCAGGCACAGGGGTCGCAGAGCGCACGGACACTCGCAACACACGATCGTCTCGTGGGTCCATCGTACAATACGTGCGGTGTATCGGTGCAAACACCTTTACAATGCCTTCTCCTTCACCGTGGTTTTTTGGACTGCCGTCATCGCTTTGATCAGGGATCCTTTCCACGAGCACAAAAGCTTCCGGATTCATCACCATCAGCAGTCTCGTGGGCATTAACGAAAAGCGTTGCTCGCGAAATGTACACCTTAACGAGACCATGCCGTCCAGTGGAGCTGTGCAAGTGCCTTTGCCGCCTGCAGCACTTGCCAGCACACTGGTACGTGGATGGCGGTTGGCAACAAGCTGCTCCAATCCGTCACTCACGAAACTGTAATCCAAAAGCTCGCGCAGTTTCCGCAAACTTAGAAACACTCGCATAGCTTTTCGACAAACTTCGATTTCATTCGAAGGACGACGCAAGGCCAACGTGTCCCGCGAACCAGCCCACGCCGGAGCATGTAAGGACTCTGCCCTTTCAAGTGGAATAAGACACTCGAAGGGAGAAGATGAATCCAACTGCAACTCCATGGGGAACGGCTTACGCTGAAATTGCGCCACTTCCTTTTCCAATACGTAAATGAACAAATCCACTTCAGCCATAGCGCCACGCATACTCTCCATGACGAGGTGTGCACTGCTCGAGTGAATCTTCTTTAATGCAGCAGACTGAGGCCGAGTGAGACAGCGATGAGACTGTACACGCGTGTCGACCAGGATATCCATCAGCAATCGTACACATAGCTGCACACTAAGCAAGCGCGAGCTTTGGTTCCGCGCAAGAACCTCCAAAACCAACTCAACTAGCCAGTACGGGTATGCACCTATGCGGCATGAACCGTTCATTCGTCCAGTTTTACTCGGCATTTCATCGGTAGCGACACTCATTTCTGTTGTGTCTTCGTCCTTTCCTTGTGAGCTAGAAGAATCGCATGAAGACGATAGAGATTCAGTAGCTGGTAAAGCAGAGTTACCCAACATAGTACTATCTCCACTCTCATCGTGCCTACTACTACAGAGAGTAGGCTTCCCAGTACGAAATCTGAAGGGTACTAGATCCAGCTCCCGTAAAAGGGAATGATCCACAGCCTTGTTGTTGACAATAGCAAGTAGAAGAATAACCACTGTCGACGAGAGCCGCTCATCGCTGGAGCAAAGCAATGACAGTAATGACTGACGATAACAGTTTGTCTTGTGCGTCACAAACGCCTTCACCTCTTCCACGGGCCACTCGCCCATGGCAAAGCGTGTTTGAACGTAACACAACGATGATTCACACGTGGTAGCTGAGTGCGGACGAAACACATGCATCGGAGGCGCCTCCTTGTCCCATCGCAGAGAAGGTTGTGGAGACAGCGGTCGTGAAGAGTTTTCTGTTGTAGCTGTGCTCCCTTCGTCATCCTCGTTACTATCCACAGTTTCCAAGTAGTGCAAGCTGCTCAGCCGCCGCCTCGACCCAGCTCCTAGTGCGACTGTCGAATACTCGCAAGTCTCCGTCGCATCCGAGCTCAACAACATAAATACAACCGCGTTCACGAGAGGTGTGTGCTCCAGAATACCCAAAAGTCTAGTGAGTAAATACAACGCAAGCTGCGTCGATACTCGTTGTGGCGGGGGCCCGCAGTCAGGCAGTACACTCGACGCCAACAACCACTTAATATGCCTCGAAAACAACAAGTCTCCGATTTTATAGCAGAGCTCAGGCACGTTCACATCCAGCAGGTCTTGTATATAAAAGCAGTGGTCAATATAGGCTTCTACCGCTTCTTCCAATTTCTCCGTTGTCGCAGTCCGCTCCGCTACGTCCTCCGCAGACGGCCAAGTATTCAGTAAGCCCTGTAGCTTCAGGGTCAAGTCGTTGGCGACCTCCACGATGTCTCGAAAGTAATTTAGATCATCATATTGCAGCACGAATCTCCGCACTCTTGCGTCCGAGACTCGGAGTACATTGAGTGTCAACGTCTTGACCGCAACTTTGACCATCGTCTCATTGCACCGTCCGAACTGCAGCGCACGCGCGTATAGTGGGAAGCGAAACTCTTCCCCTTCAGGCTGTGTGTCCAGAAAGAACTGCACCGTTTCCTCGTTGAGCCTCAGCGACAAGGCCTTAAGCAGCGTCACGTACCAGTCTCGCACGTCGTCGTCTCCATCCACTGTAAAAGCACACTCCAGAAGTCGATTCACGTAGTTATTACTTAAGATGTAATACAGCGATGTGCGTGTTGTGATATTCTGCACCAGGATGCTCATTGTCTGCAGTAGTTGAACCTGTACGGGTACAGACGGCTGGCTGGCGCCCAGTTCTACCAGTAAAGCTAGCATATTTGTCTCTCCAAAGTAGTCAAAGAAGGTGCCAGCGTCGTCTGGAGCCTCGTCCAAAGCGACCTGATCCTCCAGCTCAACAGATACGCGATGTTGGTCCGAGTAGATGAGGAACTCGGACAGGACGCGCAATAGTTCCACGATCTCAGCGTCGGGAAGCGAGGCGAAGCGCGTGAGCTGTGCGTGCAGCGCCCGCATGTTGCTCAACGTGAAGTCGAGGCGGCCTCCTGACAGGAATGACCCCAGGAAGCCGCCGCGTCCACCCGTGCCGCTGCTGCTGAGCGGCGCGGGGCTGCTGGTGTTGCTACCCATGGTGAAAGAGAAAAATACGCGACGAAAAAAAACGACTTTTTGAAAAACAGGCTCAATCATTTTTTTTTTTAAAATATTGCGTGATACGGTAGGTATCAAAAACGGAAAATGTACAGCCCGTGTTTTTATCACCATGTTTAAAACTGTTATGTATCCATGTGTGACCATGTTTGTCATTTAAAAAAATCCCCTCGGTAAATTACGAATCGCACAGCCACTCATTCTGCCACGTGACGCACCTCCCACCGCCGCTAACGAAGCTCCGTTGCCCCTGCCAGCCTGCCCAGCCTGCTGAACTTCAGGTAGTGTCTCCCCGCAGACGCATGTACTTATCGCGTCTCGTGATCAACGATGTCTAACGCTGCTTGCCGTTGTTATTGCTATTATTGCTGTATGTGCACCAGACCCGCATTTTCTCAGAAGCCCCGGGGCTTCAAACCTCAGCCACTCTCCCAGAACACGCCCCCCCCACTCTCTCAGAACACGCCCCCCTCCTCCCGTGCTATACTGGTACGTCGTGTGTCATGCGTGTACGTCGAATGCTATGGAAGCTAACTATTATTGCGTGGATCTAACAGTAACACGTGTGAGGTTACGGAACAAGACACGCGCCGCAAGCACGTGGACAACGAGGGCCGTTTGTGCTGCATACACTGAAGCGATCACGTACGTGTACATGCATTGAAGAAAACATGGACTCCATGTTTCCCATGTTTATCCCATGACCTTACAATGTTTGCTGTGAATATGCTTGGTGTCTGCTAGAACAATGGTCCGTACGAGCAAGACTGCAAGTATACTTCGAGCCATGGCAGTTTCCTGCAGCAGCAGCAGCAGCGACGACGCCGAGGCGGACTCTGGTTCGTCCGTGCAGAGTGACGTGGGCGTAAGTTCAAGTGTTATCAATGACGGCATACAAGCAGCTCAAGCCACGGACGCGCTTGACGAATACACCGTTGCTGATCTGATAACAGCACGTCACGGTGATGCTACGCAATCTGAAGAATCACTGCCTTCATCAGATGATGTGGAAGGCGCGGCTGATGACACACTTAATGAAGAAGAGAGTGATGCTTCTGGAACGAGCACAAGTACGCGATCGCGAAAGAGGACACTAATGGAGAGCAACGTGGAGCTCGAGTACGTCCCATCTTTGAGACCGTTTCACAAGAATTGGAAGCGTTTCGAGGAATATCTAGCGCAGTACCAGAAAGACACTTCGACAGTACTGGTCGTGTCAGAAACGCTGAACGTTCGCTTACGCAATCAACAGATTAAGAAGATGAAATCTTTTGCCGGGAAAGCCGAGTCCGAGATGCCGCTCGTTCCTGATTCCATGGACCCGTATCAGCGGGTGTATATCTGCACTCATGGCTGGAGGAATCGCGTGCGTTCAAAAGGCGTGCGCCCTTCGCATAGCGTGAACGCAACGGAGTGCAAAGTACGGTTTGTGGCGCAAGTGGTGAAGAAAGCAGACAAGGAGTGGAGAGTCCAAGTGAAGCTGGCGTTCTACGGACACAACCATCCTGTATCCGAGGATATATACCAGTCGTATCCGAAGGTCCGCCAACTACCTGCAAGCTCGACCGTTATGCGTGATGTGGAGCTTATGGTTGCCAGCGGCAGCAAATCCAGCCGCTTGTACGATTACATCCGTACCAATTCGCCACACCGTATGCAAATGCAGGACGTGTACAACCTTGTTGCCAAGATAAAGAAGTTGGGTGCGTAGTATTTCGATATGGACTTTGCATTCGAGCGTGGCTAACAATCGGTTTTGTAGGCAGCACGCTATCCGACGAAGAACAAGTAGCAGAATTGCTGTTGAAGTTTGGCATGGCGGCAGAGGGCAACGTGACGAATGTAGAAGTGAATGGTCGGGGCCACACGGCCGTGGTCTCTATCTGCTCGCAGCACATGCGCAAGTTGTACAATCGCTTTCCGGAGCTGCTTCTAGTTGACTGTACGCACAAGACCAACCGGTACGACACCCAACCATGTTTGACCATGTTTTGACCAGTTATTTATCATGTTTGAATGCATGGTGGATACATGTTACCCTATTCTGGCCATGTATTAACTGTGAAATTTGTATTCTCATGTAGATACAACTACCAGCTGTGTACATATATGGTCATGGACCAGTTTGGAAACGGACAAGCTGTTCAGCACTCTGTGATCGAGCGCAATGCTGACTGGTATATGCTCAAGCTGTTCGAACATTTCCAAGCTGTGAACGATTGGAACGAGACTCTAGTAATCATGGTCGACAAGGACCTGAATGAGATTGCTGTTCTGAAAGAGATGTTTCCGACGGCGCGAATTTTGATGTGCCATTTTCACGTGATCAAGTGGCTACGTGGCGCTATTCGACTTGACAAAAAGTACGGAACGTACCCGAGCGCTATATTGCAGCAGTTGGATTTCTATGTGGCAAACATGATATACGCAAGGACGGAGGAGGACCTACAGAATAATGCAGAAGAACTCAAGACTCTAGCTTGCCGAGATGGCAAACCGCTCTGTGGGAGTACTTCGAAACTAATTGGATGTCGTGCGTCGAGATGTGGGTCATGATGCATCGGATGGATCTTCCCCATTTCCGCAACAATACGAATAATCGACTGGAGAATTTCTTTGGTAAACTGAAGGTCGATCTGGACAGCTCGATGATCATGAAGCAGTGTCTCGAGGCCGTGATTTCGTACCAACGGCGCCGCGAAGACGAGTACATGGCGCGTGTAAGTAAGCCTGGCACCCAGCGCAATATCAACTACGGAGAAGAAATGAACCAGCTTCTTGGAATGACAAGCGAGTGGTTAGCTGGTGTTTTTTTGACGGAGTACAACTTTGCCGTTGACTTCGATAATCAACGCAGTTATACTATTAACGACCAGCCGCTGTACGTCGCGATGATCGGTCCCACCGCGTGGACAAGTTCAATTGGAGATGTACTTGCGAGTTCTCGTCTACGATGAAGCTACCTTGTCGACATGGGATGATCTATCGAAAACATCATGCCGCGCTACTCACAATTCCGTACGCTTCAAACCCGGCCAGGTACTTGCTATGTTTAGCACCATGTTAACCATGTTTTTCAAGAATGTAATAACCATGGTTGTATCATGTTTATCCCATGTTTCTATGATGTAGATGGCTTCGAGTAGGGACCGTGGACTGTGATCTACCCTCTATTGATGTACCTCTACAGATTCACGCAGAAGGGGACCACGTCGCTCACAAGAAACAGATGACAGTGCGCAACAAGTACAAATGCGTTCAGAGTGTCTTCAGTCGTCTCACGTCGGAGCTCACTGGCCTACCTGACGCTAAGTTCACTGCCGCGCTGGACCATCTAGAGAGCTGGTGTGATAATTTGCGCCAAGGAAACGTAGCTCTACCTCTCATGCAGTCTGGTACATCTGATTCTGAGCTCCTCCCAGCTCAAGTCGCTGTATCCGAACCGGAATCTCACAATGAAGGGAAGGGCAGTAGTGTTCATGTTGCCGAGACCCAAGGAACAACTGCCGATTCGATGTCAGCGGATCCTAAGCCTGAAGTGAACTTACAGAAACGCGCGATGAAAGCAGCAAGAAAAGCCACGCCTAAAATCAACCAATTCAATCCACGAGCGCCAAAACTGGGCCGTCCTCGAAAGAATCGAGCTGCACAAGACGCTCAGCGAAACGCCGACAGGAAGGAGTACAACAAGGGGGCAAAGTTACGGAATGCGTTGCGAGCAGATGACGTAGTGCAGGTCGAGGAGCTCCTGAAGAGCAGTCAGCCGTCGCTGATGGAGCTAAGCTCGTATTTGAACTCTTTTGAGACGCGACACTACGGGCGCAAGGAAAGAAACATCACAGTCACGAAGCGAATCCCTCCTGAAGATAGCGTGCCCTACCGTCTTCCCGAGGCTATGGTACAGAAAGCGCTAGCAGATATTGAACGCAGGACACCCTACGGTGAAGTTATGGATCTCAGTACGCCGATGGACGCAAGCATAAGATGCTGGGTAGCAGACATAGATGGTGTGGGTGTGTTTACACAACGCCAGCTGATGGCGATGCAATTTTTGTGGAGCTTGTCTGCAGCATGCGCGAACGACTTAAAATGCTACTCATGGCTGATGGGTAAGGTGGACATACTCTTTGACAATGACCAAGCCGCTTTGTTGGCTAAACGAATGATTGAAACATGGCCTGGTCAGCGCCTTCCGGGATTCGACCAGGGCTTTCACTTGGACTGGACGCATTTGTACTGTGCTCGAGATGGCTGCTGGTTCAGCGAAAATTTAATTCAAGCCTTCTCGGCGACGCTGTCGGCCAAGTACGGTGCCAGCACTACATTTTTCCTACCGCAGCTTCACACACCGGCAAAAGATAAGGGCCATCGAATCCCGCCACTGACGTTAAGTCTTGTAGCAGTTACGAACATGGAATGGGTGTTCATGCCGCTGAACGCCAATGCCAGTCATTGGACATGCCTCGCTGTGAACCAGCTTCAAAAATCCATTAACTGCTACGACAGTCTCGACAAACGCGCCTATCATAACTTGCTGGAAGAGTTGGCGCAAGAGCTCGTGGTCCGGAGCATGACGGAGCCGTACGAGATAATAGCTGTGCACAACCCCATCCAGAACGACGGTGACAACTGCGGTCTGTTCGTATGCCTGTTTTTCTGGCGCCGCGTGTACAAGGAAGCACCCAGAGATTATTCGAAGACGGGTTGTCTACGCCAGCGGTGGGATCTCCTTCGCAGTGTGGTGGACTTTAGTGACTCCAGCAAAAACGCAGAGTAATTCGATGCTAAGTTTTGCAATACATGTTTACGTACCATGTTTTCCATGCTTGACATGTTTAAGTATCAGAGACCTGAGATGGATACATTACGTAAGGTAGTTTCAACCCATGACGAATGTGGGTGTGAGATGTCGCCGACAACACAGAATCCTCTTCACTCTTACTTTTTTACGTCGTACTGACAACATGTTTGGAGATGTT